TCATTTGGGGGGCACGGAACTTTTTATTTTTTCCTTAGCTCCTTCTTTCCTTTTCTTTTCTTTCATTGGAGATTTTGATAGTAGAAATGACGTTTTGTCCTTTGGCGTTTCATTTAGAGATTATGAAATGTAGAGGGAACTTTCCTTATTTAGGTTATGATCTATTTTGAATTCGTGACATAACTAAACGTTCATAACACTCCTTCTTTTTTTTTGGAATTTCAATTTCTTTGGAGAAGTGACATTTTGTTCTTTTGGGTTTCATTGCTGGACACTGATACAGATTATAGAATGTACATAGAGGGAATTGTCGTCGTTACTTTCATCATTTAGGTTATGATCCATTTTCAGGTTATGATTTAGGTTACGTTCACTTTTCCTTTCTCTCAATTCTCAACAGCTCGTAGAATCGGGAAGTTTACTCTTTCCTCTTCTCTATTCAAATATAGATTACGACTGAATTGGACAAAACGCAACTTTTTCCCTTTCTCTTTCTTTCGTCGTCCTCGGCGTTTCCTCGTTTCCACGGCATAAATATTGATCGCGAGTCGTTACTACAGGGAACTGCGATTCCAAGCTTGCATTTGTGGTGGACATAGACATTAAGGAAACTTGTTTCCAGCAATGTGTTACCACTTTTCACTAGTTTGTTTTAATTAATCAAATACGCTTAACAACCACAATAATGATAGAACGAACACAAATAGGGAAACTTGGCAAATTAAGTAGCGTAATGAGGATCTGACTTTGTAATTTAGTGATTTCGAACAACTAATTAACCACAAGATTGACTATAAAGTCAGATTCGATAACAATAAACAGCAATTTGAAATATATTTGTATATATTGTAAAATTTTATACTGTTTAAAATGCATACGTTCAAATTCTATTTACCATTTAATCCCTTATCTCACAATATCGAGTAGCACATGTTTTGGAAAGAAAAGGCAAACTGCTTATAATAATCCCAATTTGAATTTTAAATTTAGTTTCTTTAAACTGAATTAATCTGGTTGCTACAAATTGCAAATAACTTTATATTTAAAATAATTCTATAATTACTACAATAAAATTCTATAATTCTATAATTAAAAAAAGAATCGCAAGGGAGGTTGTAAAATAAAAAAACAATTTAAAATATATTTGCACCTAAAATTTTATAATATTTAAAATGCATATTTTCAAAATCGACCATTTAATTCCTTATCTCACAATATCGAGTAGCACATGTTTTGGAAAGAAAAGGCAAACTGCTTATAATAATCCCAATTTGAATTATAAACTTAGCTTCTTTAAACTGAATTAATCTGGTTGCTACAAATTGCAAATAACTTTATATTTAAAATAATTCTATAATTACTACAATATAATTCTATAATTAAAAAAAGAATCGCAAGGGAGATTGTAAAATAAAAACACAATTTAAAATATATTTGTACCTAAAATTTTATAATATTTAAAATGCACATTTTCAAAATCGACCATTTAATTCCTTATCTCACAATATCGAGTAGCACATGTTTTGCAAAGAAAAGGCAAATTGCTTATAATAATCCCAATTTGAATTTTAAACTTAGTTTCTCTAAACTGAATTAATCTGGTTGCTACAAATTGCAAATAACTTTATATTTAAAATA